GTTGAACCAAAGGAGGCATCCTAGCTCGTACGGTACTGCCTAGCGCAGGCTAGAAGATTCTTATCACACAGAAGACCGCCCATGCAACTCTGACCAATCAACATTCAGTATAATATGGAGTAACCAATGAGACGCGGTTTCTAGCATGATAGCGCTCGTCAAGTCCACATCAACTGCACAGGCTGCATAACGGGGCAGCTCAGTAGAAAATATCTCATTCATTCCTATTCCAATGTTGAGCAAATCGACAATTCCTCGTATCGTCCTTAAAAACGAAAGTTTTTCAACCGACTCCGCATAAACTATACGTACTCATCTATTCTGATGTGTAATGAGATTAATTTTCAATGAAATTGAGTTGCCTTGTGAAACCTTTGATTGATCTAAGTGACAAAGATTCGAGACCGATTAGTCCTCTCATTGAATACCTTCATCAATCTAGATGTGATTTCACTTGAGACATCAACAATAAATGTGTATGTAGCATTTTTGGGACGCACAATATGATTCTTCCAGGGACGCTACGATACCAGTATAATAATCGAAAAGAACCTCACATTCAGAAATGGTCGATGGTCTTATGAACCTCACATTCTGATTATAATGTAACCTCAATGTGAGTTTAATTCCAACGTAAAATCTGGATTCCCATTCAGCTAACTTTTGAGTCCCATTCAGCATCTAAATATGTAGCAAAAAATGACCAAAAGGGTCCCAAATAGAGGATCTGGAGATGTCGGAAAAATTCACAAATTGAATCACGGGTGTGATATCAGTCATGAATGTGAAGTGTACTGACATCTCTGAGATCAATTTGTGTTTACTGGGCCATATCATAGTAGACAGTATTTCCGTCTTATTCGAGATTTGAAGGTTAATCTCTTCGGGGTAGCGGGGTAGTGTTACTCTACTGCAGAAAACAGAGCTATGCATTATTGTTTACCTACTTTTTCACTCTCTTTCTCATTGGTTCATGATTGAATTCATCTGTGATATTTACTACTGGCTATCAATTGGTATTTCTCTGTTCGTTGTTATTGATTCTAATTCTATTTTTGCTGTAAATAAGGGATAATATTGTGATTTTCAGCCTACTAGTTATCTTTATTGCATACCTCTTGGTCAGAATGTTCTGTTTACAAATTTTGGTAGGTAGTTGGTTCTTGGAATTGTCGCACAAGACTGATTCAGTACACAGGTATTTCGCCAATTTTCATCTTGAATTTCGAGTATCATTCTTGTAATTATTGTTGCCGTTATATTTCCAAATAAATATCATTATCATGTAATTATTGAAAATGTCACTCTTAGTTTGATGACGTTCATTCTCTATTGACGGTAATGACACTAATGATGGATGACCACTATCTGCGAACCTCTGCATGCATCTTCATGAATTCTCATCATTGTCATCCTGGAACATTGACCCATAGTTCCCTTGCTATCATCACGAATACGGGCTTTAACGACTCACAATCAACACCATATTTCGTTATGATGATTTGGCACTCTGTATCTTTGCCATTATGTACCTGTTCGTTGATTTGGCACTAATTTCTTGTGAATATGGGCGTTATAGGTATGTTGCATTGTGATAATGGGTCATCGCACAAAAAGAAGATGATGACGTATTTCGCCCCACTTTCAAGTCTACAATGGTCCTCAGTTGCGCATGATCGCGTTTGAATATTTTAAGTTTCAAATCAAAACAATAATAACAGGCAATAATGTATTCTGACTTGAAATAGATGGTGATTTAATGATATTCCTTCTTTTCGGATGGTCTAGATACCTCTATTCATATTATCGACATATTTTTCATCACACTGATGGGGTATAAATACCATGTACAGGGTGTTCGCGGGGATATCTCCCGAATATATTTTTATATCGTGCGTGTGATTGATGATGTGTGTGGGATCATAGGAAAAGATACACAAAAAAGGGTGATCTCCCGGTAAGATGTGGCAAGGACAGCCCCTTCGATCTCAATGGGCACCATTTTGTCTGCAGCAGTCTACCAGCTTGGTCACAAAAGTAAGCCATGAGATCTGTTTCTTGAATAATTTCGAATTTGTCTAACATTCGATTTTCCATTACTTAGTGTTGGGATTAATACAGAAAAGATCTCAAATTTGAGATATCCATTATTGCTGGAATGGGATTCCTGTTGCCTCTATAGAGGCATTCTTCGTGGCTGAAATCCACGTGGCCGACGAGACCTGCATCACGACCTGTACCACCACTCCAGGAACCCACAAAACATCCAAGGTACTATATGTTCTTTAAATCATCAGCTGCTATTTTCTTTTTATTCCTTGTGTTGGTAAAATAACGCACGATTGTGGTCATTCCATATAGGGTTCTCTGTATCGGGCTAAGACCTTATCTCCCGACTGTCGCACTCGAGATTTGGGCCCCCCTCAGCTCGGACCTAAGACTGTCTTTAGTCGTCTGCAGTCAACGCTACGCTGCTTCAATTCGCGTTTTTGGGGCCCGCTTGTTTGTGACTGAGGGGCGACTTCATTGGAGGCACCACCTGACGCTGCCCTGACTTCACCTGATCCCCCTGTACATCAGGACCAGATAATATAAACCTACATATTATACTGCTCATAATTTGGTGAGTTCGTTCCATGCACCATCAGAGATAATTTCATTTAGGATAAACTACCTCCAACAAAATGCTGCCTAGAAATAACTATTACAGACCCTTCAACACTCAGCTCTACTGGGATGAAAGGGTCTTGACTAACTGTCAGGAAGGCACGTAAGTATGGTACACTGACGGTTCTAAGACTGATGAGGGCACGGGAGCCGGAATATATGGAGATAGACCCAGAACCAGGATGTGTGCTTCCTTAGGGAGGTATGCTTCAGTATTCCAGGCAGAGGTGCATGCTATTGGGGCATGCCTGAGAGAGAATATCGTAAGAGGATACAGAGGTAAACAAATCCTCATATGCTCAGATAGTCAGGCGGCCATTCAATCTCTAACATGCAATAAAATCAGATCAAAATTGGTCTGGAATTGCCTTCAAAGCCTGCTAACCCTGGCTAACCACAACAAGGTAACTTTTCAATGGGTGCCAGGGTATAAGGGTATTGAAGGCAATGAAGCAGCTGACGCTCTTGCCCGGCAAGGGTCTGCGACGTTGTTTATGGGACCGGAACCTGTGTTCGGTATCCCCAAAACCTCAATACGCGGCTGGCTGGCAAGGTGGATGCAAGAAAGACATCAGGCATACTGGAACAATGTCCCAGGACAAAGACACAGTAAACTGATGGTTGGAACACTGTCCAAAACAGTGACTAACGACATTCGGGTGGCCAGGTAGCCGTGCGGACAGAGTGTCTATATTCTAATTCGCATTCGCTTGCCGGTCGTGGGTTCGATCCCCGTCGACTGCAGACATTTTTCTGATGGCCCAAGAAGGTGTTTGGGATCACACGTTGAAAGGTAAGGCCCCCGTCATTCCTTGCTCGCACAAGACTTTCGAAGACTTTTGAGGGTTGCTCGTAAGGGGGCAACCGAATGACGGATAGAACAAATTTTAGAACAATTTTTTTTTTAATTCTGAGCCTAAACAGAAGTCAGATCAAACAAGTGACGGGACTAATAACCGGTCACTGCCCCTTAAGGAAACATATGCATCAAATGGGCATCTATACAGACGAATTCATATGCAGACTATGCAATGAGGAGGAAACTGCCACCCATGTAATACTGGAGTGCGAAGCACTAGCGCGTTGGAGATACAACCTTCTTGAAGCAGTAAACTCTCAAGAGGCATTTTCGAAGAATGATCTGGTGAAGAGGCTGCTAAACCTCATCAAGGTAGCGAACCTGTTCACCTAAATCAACAGCATGATCAGGAATACAATAGGTCCAAAGGCTGCAGTGTTTTGGGCTTCAAACCCTGACTGATCATTCTGCTATTAATCAATCAATCAATCAATCACCTCCAACCATAATTCATCATTTTGAAGTTTCATTTGACATAATAATTGTAACATGTCATTGATTTAATATACACTCAGTATAGCTACAAAATATACCCCTGTAAACCAAAAGTGCACTGCGGTAAAATAGGCCTCATTATTTCTATTGTCTCATTGATACTGATTCACTGAGTTATTTTGTTGTTCAATAAGTTATATATTATTATCATACTGTCTCAGAGAGTTGATTTTGAGCAGTTATTGTATTATTCCACACTGATCTGAAGAGTTGATTTCAGTCAGTCAATTTATATTTCTTGTTGTTGCAAAAATCGTACACTGCTTAGTTAACAAGTCTTGAGCCATCTAGTAACATTTGAAGCACATAACTTGTCATTGCAGAATTTATTTGTGATTGAAAGCATATTCATCCCTATCAAACTCAGTATTTCACTAAGTCTAACGTACCCACCCATTTGTCCCGCTGAACTACCAGTGTCTAGTTTCTACAGTATCAAACTGGGCACTGGAAACACTTTCTCTGTTGTCAATACAATTAAGATTTGAAACACTCAGTGAATCTTAGGTAATCCATCAACCAAACTCAGGGGTAAATAAAATTCCATTTGATTTTTTTTGTACTACTCACCCCATGAGATTTAAAGGCATAACACTGTTGTAGCCCACTGCTCAGTAATTCCATGAGTGTTGAGAAACATTGTTTCATAAACAGGTATTTCATCATCTCCTCTAATTATAGTATATTTTCTGGAATATTTTCTTCTTGACTCTCTTTCCCTAGTTGTTTCCTGCTTCTTCTCAATAGACTTCACACATCTAGCAATGTAATCCCACTGTCTTGTATGGTTTCCAATTCCCCAAAATGCCTGGAATACTGCACTTCTATTCTCCTCTGTCAGCTTCGTACCACATCTTTTTCTGCATTCTTGTCTACAAGCATCTTTCATAACCTTTGCTGGAATAACTCTACGTTTTCGATTCTTGTGTTTTAATCCTGAATTGTGTTCCTTTTTTGCCTTTTTATCAATCCATTCATTTTAATTTCGGGTGCGTTTTCTTCCCTTCTTTTCTTCAACAGAAATTCCAAGTTTTTGTGCAATTTTTTCTCTAGGTTCAGAATGCTCGTCTCCACCAGATGAGTGGGATAATACTCCGGTAGGTACGTAGATTGGATCGTCAATCGAATCTGATGATTGGTGCCAATTTTCTATGTCATCATCTATAGCATTTTGTTCTCTTAAAACTGTACCTGGACAGGATGTTACATCCTTCTTGCAATGGTTGCTTTAGATGTGAACAGGTCAACAGAACAAGCAGTACTTGTACTCGGTTTCACGACTATAAGAGACAAAATTATCATTGATCCACCTCATATTTCAAAGTAAATAGGTTCACAAACTCTAAGTGAAGCTTCGTTTCCGAGAGTAACCATTCGAGGATCGACAACAAACTTTCGATTATTGTGATGGACAGCTCTCAAAAATATAGCAAAAAATTTAGAAAAACATAATTTCTTCATACTTACTTGATTCCAACCGGATATTCGATTCATTTTGTTGTTTTTAAAACATTGTTCCGCATTCTTCAGGATCAATTTGGTACGTTCACTCATTTTTATTATTGTTTCAAGTCAATTTCTGTATTGGTTATCTTTCCAAAACTGCGACAGACACCAACACATAACCTCAATCTCACCGACGAAAGCTATAGTAAGTCTTTTCAATTCGATCCTTTCGCTATATCTTGCAACGAAAACTATTGAAACTGAACATAATAATATTTTCGCTGCACGGAACCAGTGATTTCAGTTACTATATATTCTGAAATACATGTAACTTGGGGCGAATTCGAACACGTCTGCTGAATTCGAACAACCGGTCGTCCTTGAGAATTTCTTGAAACCAATGGGATCTCGCGACTCTAACGTATATTTTCAAATGGAAGATCGGAAGTAGGCAGTTGGCCGAGCGTATTAGTGGTGGTAGGACGCTAGTTGAGCAGTAAGTAGACACGTGGTGAATTTTACAATTTTATATAAAATTGGTTAGTTTTTGGTTAGTTTGAAAACAAACACCTGTAACTTTGGCTCTATCGCATATATCAATTTAAAACTTTGTAGAAGTATAATCTGACATGTCCTTAACATGATATACTAGCCAGTTTTTGATTTTTTTGAATTGCGTAATTTATAAAAATAAAAATACGAAAAATTTACTTGCAGAGGGGCGAATTCGAACATGGTTCGAACATATAAGAAGGTGCTGGGAGCCAAGCATTATGGCAATTACTCAGATTCTGCGCTAAAAAAAGCTATAGAAGCTGTGCGAAGCAAACGGATGACTTACAGGAGTGCTTCTGACGCTTTTCAAGTGCCAATAGCAACGCTTTGCAACAAAATAAAAAATAAACATCCCATGCGTCCTGGAGGTCTTACAGCGTTAAGCCAAGAAGAAGAGCTTAGTCTTCGTTCTGGAATTGAAAAGGCTGCAGAATGGGGCTTTCCCCTTACAAGAATGGACATCCGAACGCTGGTGAAGCAATTCCTTGATGCCCAAGGTAAGAGAGTTAAGTGTTTCAAGGAAAACATGCCCGGCCTAGATTGGTTTTATAAATTTTTGAAAAGAAATCCTGTTTTAACGGAACGTATGTGTCAAAACATTAAGCGTTGTCGAGCTGAATTGTCTCCTGAAATCATTCATGCTTATTTTGACAATTTGTCACAAATTATACAGGATGTGCCAGCATGCAACATAATTAACTATGATGAAACAAATCTATGTGACGACCCTGGAAGAACCAAAGTGGTTTGTAAAAGGGGCACGAAATATGTTAATAGAATATTAGATTCTAGCAAATCCAGCACATCTATAATGGTTTCAGCGACTGGGTCTGGAAAACTATTGCCTGCTTATGTTGTATATAGAGCACAACATCTTTACCCCACTTGGACAGAAAATGGTCCTGATAATGCAGTGTACAATCGCACCAAAAGTGGTTGGTTCGAAGGCGCTGTTTACGAAGACTGGTTTGAGAAAGTAGCTTTACCTTATTTTCGAAAATGCACAGGTAGAAGAATTTTAATTGGTGACAATTTGTCCAGTCACCTTTCAATCAGAGTTATACAACTCTGCGAACAGAACAACATCGAGTTTATACTTTTGCCGCCTAACGCCACCCATCTATTACAACCTTTGGATGTAGCTTTCTTTGCTCCATTCAAAAAAATCTGGAGAAAGTTACTGACGGAATGGAAGCAAAAAAATAGAGGCGTCCTCCCTAAGTCCGATTTTCCAAGATTGTTAAAGAAATTATTTGACAATGTGGAGCTTAATGCTGCAAAAAACATCATTTCCGGTTTCAGGGCTAGCGGTATAATTCCGTGTGATGGAAATGTTGTTTTAAATAAACTTCCGAAACTAACAGAAGAACAACTGGAACAACAGCAAAACCAGGCTGAAATCGATCGACGCTGGAGTTCAACTTTTGTTAATTTCATGAAAGAATCAAGGACTCTGGAAACCAAACAGAACATAAAACGGGGCAAAAAAATTAATGTAGCACCAGGAAAAGGAATAAGAGCAAGAGATTTAGGTGAAACTTCAGCTTCAAGAGAACAAAGCAGCACTGGCGACGAGTTTCTTATCGAATCTGATCAGTCCGACAAGGAAGAAAGTGGAGATGATCATTCTGACATGGAAGAAAATGGAGATGATCATTCTGACATGGATGAGTTTATTCCAGGAACTAATAACCCACAAGACTCTAGTTTTGAAGATATCACTGACCAAAACTTAAGTGCCAATGACTATATTTTAGTAAGCTTTAAATGTCCTAAAAAAACTACAAGATTTTTTATTGGTAAAATTATTGAAGTTTTTGTTCAGGAGCCTGAGACAGTTTTTGTAAATTTTTTAAGACAAAAAAAGTCTAGTAAGCTTGAAAGTTATTTTTTCTATCCAGATGTAAAAGATGAGGCTGTAATAAACAGAAGTGATATTGTTATGAAACTTTCTGCACCAAAGGACCTTCGCAGAAATCGTTTTATGTTCAAAAACTTACCCAAAGGTTATGTTATTGAGTAAACTTTGATCTTTTTTTCTTTATTCATTAGAAGTTATTTTTGTTCCTTTTTTACATTCAAGAATTTTTGTTCCTTTTGAGAATTTTTGTTCCTTTTGTTTCTAGTATGTATTCTATGCTTTTTTTTAGAATTAAGTTTATTTTGTAATCCTTATAAGAAAATAAAGCATTTTTTTGATAAAAATATAATGCCAAACTTTTTTTCCCCTTTTTAAAGCTATTTAGAGGGCTAAAAAATACTTAATTTGTTCGAATTCACCCTTATTGAAGGCTAAAATAACAATTTCGTGTCATTTAAAGCTTTGTTCGGATTCGCCCCACCCATAGGGGCGAATTCGAACAACATTTACTAATTAAAAAAAAATACTAATTATTTTTCAAATTAATTTTTTTTCTGGGAATGTCTAAAGGAAGGTTTAATAATGATATATTTTAATTTTCATAATTTTTTGTTGTCAAACCCCGTCAGAATTTGAAAAAAACCTCGAAATTGCGTTCGAATTCGCCCCAAGTTACGTACTGGTTGCCTAACCGTTTCATATTCAGATACCAGAGTATTCGTACGTGTAGATATGTGGAAAAACTACTCATCCCATATATTAACTCAAAATCAGTATTTTGTGAGTTACGATAGTTTTCGTTCTAGGTGTCGATATGTAGTCGCCCTTCTCCCTATCACGGGAGAAAAAGTGAATTATACACAGAAAGAATGATAGATTTCAGCTCGCGGTTTTTTTGTCTCTCACCGTTACGCGTCGGGAGACAGTGTAACCTTGAGCTAGAATCTACTGCTCTTTTTGTTATAATAAATAACTATCATTCATGAATAAATGGTCAGGTTAGGTAAGGTTATATAGGTCAGTGGCCAGTATCTACTTATTGAACCTTATACACCTCTACAAATTGACGAACTCAACCTATGCCTGTTTTGGCATATTCTGAAGTTAATCTACATTATGGGTATAGCTGCCCACTCCGCAGTATTTTCAGCTCTGTGAAATCTTTATGTCAAGACGTCACACCATATTATTATATAAGCTACACTGAACATTCAGATAGGTAGGTTGAATTATATCAATTGAAAATGATCGTGCCAATGTGAATAATGAAATTCAGGTGATGTTATCATGGTCTGAATATACAAAGTGTCTCAAAATTACCAACAACGCTCTATAGGTGATAACCCCTATGATTTCATAATTACTGAGATAGGGGAAACAATATTCAAGTGTTCAGTTCTGGCGATGGGGGAGGTCGGAGTTGAGAATTTTCCCGCAATAGCTCAAGAATGATTGAATATTCCATGTTTGAAAAAGTCAGTTTCCTTACAAAAAAGCCATTTCGATTATTTCTGAATTTCAAACGTATATGCATCACCTTCAGCTGCGTCAAAATAAACAGTTTTCGAGATTATTGACTCGAAATTGAAGTTTGCATAGTAATTTGTCATCACTCTAGGTAGTACAAAATTACCAACATATTTTTCTGGTACTGAGTTGATGAAATACTAGTCGAAATCTCATTCTGTAGTTGAGCCCATATAGATATTCAATGCACAGAGAAGAATCGGAGCATTCTCACAAACCATAGTGTGACATTAATTCTCAATATTCTTCAATATTAGTCAATTGTATTGGATTTTGATCACTGTGGAGGAATGATGAATGACTTCCATTTATGAACAAGAAAATAATATTTCGCATTATCGAAGTGAAGACAATGATGTTCTATTTATATTCGAAACTAACATCATGATCCTCTGGTTGCGGATGGTAAATTGAAAACAAGCGTGAATACAGTTATTCACATGCATTTCAGAACTTCCTCGTACCTTTTCCTCATAACAATCAGGTGGTCGATAGTGCCGATAATATTCAATTATTCGATTCTCTGCACGAGACTATACCCTGATAATTTATTTTTCTCATAGTCAGTATGGAAGCAATGATACTAATCTTCTGAAGTTCATTTGTGAGTTTCCAGCTCCTAACATCCAGAGATTGTTGGAAAATGTTTGTGTGGACATAAAAAAAGACAATCAAAGGTCTTTACCATGCACTGTTAGAATAGCAGGCGCAGTCTCCCTTGATCCCACCAAATTATGCGCAACGCACTGGTATTTTCCTTCATCATGCTGCCTCACATCCGCTATCATCAAACTGCCGCTCTCAAGGATCTTGATCCTCTTGCCGTCCATGTCCATCTCGAAGCCATCTTTTTTCCAGGCGAGGGAAGGTTCGGGGTGTCCTCTGGGTGCTCCACATTCCAGAACCGCTGTCTCGCCTGCAGCCACCCGGGTGTTTGATGGAGTGGCTTTGAACTCGTCGCGAAGAACTAGAATAAAAATCTGATAATTAATTTCGATTTCAACAACGGTGACGTGGAGTGAGTTATCAATGCATGTTCAATTCAACCTGTTATAATCAAACAACTGGAAAGGAATTAAGCGACCTCACAGAGAGACAGCCGCAGACACTTGTTAGAATATTTTACGAGATATAATTCCGAATATTGATGTTTCTGTTGATTTTGATACAAAATAATGAAGAAACTCAATTCGAATTGTACGTGCACTGAACTAGTGAAAATGCAAAATATCTTTGATGCTAGTGGTGAAACAAAATCAGTTCTCCATGTACCAGGGTTTAAGAAGTTGATGCTGACAATTCATTCATGAATTCGAAATCTTCATTTCAAGAAGATGGATGAGGTAGGTTCTTCATCCATTGACATTTATAATTCATGGTTTGTCAATATCAACTAGTTGTTAATGAACCAAAGCATGAACTTGGAGATATTCAATAACGTATTTCTTATTACCAAATGAAATCATTTCTCTGTCAGTTCAACGATGAATTGATGTTCATTGTACAGGGCTTGAAAAAGTTCCGGATCGAAAAAATCAAATCACGAACCTGTGATGAGAGGTATGTAGCAGCAAATTCTCATCGTCCAAGTTTGAAAGCACTGATTGGAAATGAAGGTTTCGAAAGAGGTAATTCTCAGATATAATATGCACATAACCAGAATTGGACCATATATTGGAAAATACATTGAGTATATTTCTCCTCTACATCTCATATTTTATTTCGATACTGAGTATATTGGTATAATATATTTTGATATCAATTGATTCTATCAGAAGGAGAATGTGAATTCTGAATTTCAGAAGATCCTCATTTTTATTATATCATCATCTAAGGTGGACAACAAAAGTTATTCAATATTTGGCAAGGCAAATAGTCAGGAAATTATAGTTGTTCCTTGTTGGATATCCCGATTGAGATTAAAAAGACTAGGTGACAAATGAAAAGCTTCACCTAAATATTTCACCGAAATTTGAAATCCGATATCATGAAGAAAAAAAAAACGATTCATATTCTGTATTAGATTATTTCATTTTGTGACATTCTGTGAACATGTTATCAGGAGATCAAAAATGATACCGTGAATGATATAAGATCATGCTACATCAATATGGAACATGACTCAAATTTACGAACCTTGAGTATCTCCAATCACCATGTAGATTGCTATTTGCTCAAAAATTTTTGCGCGTCAACGAAGTCTGCTAGAGGTTCCTGTAGATGAGAATACAGAAACTTCATTGACAGAGATCGTGGACCATCACATTCTCGAATTACTATTACACAACATAGATCAACTCGGTCTAGAATGGGACTCGAATTTTTTATATTTACTTTCAAAATCGAGTAAAATATTCATGTGAACCAATTCATTTACGCTGTTCACATCCTCGTTCAGATAAAAGGCCATCAGAGTGATTCTGAAAATACACAACATATTTTTAGGACCAAACCAATTTTATATTTAAAAATTTTGCCCAATTATTCTCAAAGACATAACTACACAAGTTGAAATTCTGGCAAACGGATTGGACATTGATTGTTCTTAACATTCGAATATTGTAGATTGTAGATGGGTCGTACAGGCTGGGAGACCTCTCGATCACTGCGACCTAGAAGATGTATTGTGATTACCCCTATCTAGTTTTGGTCCTCTAACCCTAGACTTCTGATGAAGCCTACGATTTTCCTGACGGTTGACTTTTCTACTGCAGCAGGGGTGAGATAGACCTGTTCTAGGTGGTTGAGCCTTTGGCGGACTAATACTTCACATGAGCAAAGTATGTGTTCCGCAGTTCTCCCTTTAGGTGACATTTGATTTGTAGCAGAATACTCAGTATATGATGTTTCTAAGAGACATGTTTATTATTCAATCGTTCATTTATTGAGTTGAGACCAATTTCCAATTTGATAGCCTCTCTGGGATAGTATCAAGAAATATTATCATATCCTTAATATTACTGATAGCCCTGGTATTAGGTAAGTTATTCTACGTTCATATAAGTATAATAAGTAATCTAGAGGATGTAAAGAATGTAGGGTCTCCTTTCATCACAATGTGTCAAAGAAATGTTGAAGCAAATGTCATCATATATTAGATTGGAATCTGATTTTCAAAGATCAATGAATCACGGACTAAAGGAGTGTGTTTCATTGCAAACCATCACAGATTATCCCACAAGAAGGCTCAGGACCAGAAAGTGCAGATGCTGCACCTTTTCTGGCAAGGCGATCAGCTGCCTCATTTCCTTTGATTCCTTCATGCCCTGGAACTCACATAAGTGTGACTTTGTTGCCCTTTTCCAGTTGCATGAGTGTTTCAAAGCAGTCCCATGTAATCTTTGATGTGGAAACGAATGATTTCAGGGCTTTTAGTGCGGCTTGGCTGTCTGAGCAGATATATATGTTGGCACCCCTCAGACCTTTGCTCAGGCTCCTTAAGGCGCAAAGGTTGATGGCATGTATCTCAGCTAGGAAGATAGTGGGGGAGTGACCTGAGGCTTCAAATAGCCTACATCTGGGCCCATATACACCTACCCCTTCTTCCATTCTCGAACCATCGGTGTACCAAACAAGGGACCCTCTGTCCAGCTGACGCTCAGCGGAACCGTACCTAGGGCGGCTTTTTATATCCACTTCAGAGGTATGATCGAAACTGAGCCTGTCTAGCATTATGTCCGATGGTTTGGTTGCAGATTCCATTTGTACTTCTTGTAGAATGACCATGTGACCAGTGACATCACCTGGTCTGGCCAATTCAGTGGAGTTCAGTCTGTATGCACTGAGAGCTGCAGTTCTCTTGATAAAAGGAAGCAAGGGTAGTAGGTCAAGCATAGCTTCCATTGCTGCAGTAGGACACGTACGTATAGCCCCTGTGATCCGGAGACACGTGAGTCTCTGGATTTTTTGCAGCTTAAGTAGTGCTGTTTCTCCCTTACTTTTGGTCCACCACACTAGAGAACCGTATGTGACCATGGGTCTGACCACCGATTCGAATATTAGTTTCATAGGAATTATATGTTTGATTGCTTCATCATTCCATTTTTATAATAACAATTAAACAGTTTGATCACTTATTGGAGAGTAGAGATGACATTTTTCCTCCAGATATAACCAGAAGTACAAAACAACTTTGAAGAAAACTGGAAAATATCTGAAATTCATCGAATGTTTCCTTAATGGAGTTCTCAAACTATTTCAAATCAATTCCAAAATTTTATTCGGATAACCCCTCAAGAGCAGAAAATTATGAAAAAAAAAAAACAATGTTTCATGTTCTCCTCGATGTTTCCATAACGGACTTAGAAATATAAAATAACTCATTTATCCGTTTGAATTATATTCGGTGCATTACAATGGTTAGTTGACCTCTTAATGCATCAATTATCTGTTGTGTGATCTCTATGTTTATTGATTCACACATCCCCATCCCACATGAATTGCAAAAATTCAAAAATCTTCGAAATGATAATGAACGATATAACGTAACAAAAATGCAGTAGTGAAATATTCACAGGAATTTGGTGCTACGTTTTTCGTAAATATCGAAATCAAAACGAGCTCAACAATTTGCATATAGGTAACACATTCACAAAGTTCATATACGGATACATTCAAGTGATGACTTTGCGGGGCATCAGCTCAACAACAGTGAATTCTTGAGCACTATATGAAATGGAGATGGACCAGCTGAGCACATGTAGGGGGTGCGAAAGACGGTCAGTTCACCATAATATTGATGACCAAAAAATATAACGCAACGGATAATGTGAAGAAGCTCTGGAAAATAATGGTTTTGAACCAGTGTTCTAAGACATATTGAAGACAAATATATAAACAATAACATATTTTTGATGTGGTGATGTGCAGGCATGTACGTGGTCAGTTGGAGAGGTTGAATCGATAACCTCACAATAAAAAGGCAATATAATTTCAATAGAAGTGAATTTGTTCTCAACTCCACAGATATTATGGAACCTTTCTCCACAAACCGTTCCAACCAGATCTTGATTATTCGGAGCAGCACAATTGAACTTCAATATTGTCGCTGGGTACGCTCTTCTAGGAACCAGGAAGCTGAAGCAACTCACTCATTCCGTAGTCAGTGTAGCTGACCTGCTCAGATATCAAAAAGAGAAATAGGAATCTCTTGAAAGAATACACTCAATAATAAAGTTGACTTGTCACCACCGGTGATATTGAATACAATCAAAAGAAGTTTAAAAATCGTGCTGGTTAATTCACAAGTAGAATATTGCGATATGGAGTTACGAAATTGTTTTGAACTGCTCGTGTAGGCAGAGGCACTGAGCCAGCACGGCTGTATTGCTTGACCTGAAGGCACTGAAACAGGGCTCACATGGACTCCCTTACGCGGAACTGACAGCGGTCTGGCACCGGGCTAGCGAAGACCCTGGCGTAGGCTCATCTGGGCTTCTGGAATGAGCCAGGTAGTGGAGTACACAGAAAAGCCTTATAAATGAAAGGGAACCGCCGCTTCCTAGATTCCTAGAGACCAGTGTCAGAAGTGATTCCAAAATCTAAAATCCAAAATTCTAGGGTTGTGATGATTCCACAAAGGCTTCTAGGGTTGTGATGATTCCACAAAGGCTTCTAGGGTGGTGAAGATTCCACAAAGGCGTAGAAATGTCAACAATTTTTTTTGTCGAAATATTTGTAATTGCCACTCCAAATATGAATATGTTACGATGAAAAATTGTTATTTTGGAAGTAATCATTGTCACTTCAAACTATGAACTGACAAGTGTCACTCTGAACTGGATATTATGATCTTGAACTGTCAATAATTGCTACTTTGAATTGACAATTGCTATTTTGAATTGACGATTGTCACTCCGAGCTGAAGATTGTCATTTCGAACTGACAGTTGCTATTTCGGATACAGATATTCTATCTCGGAATGAGGAGTGCATTGTGCAACGTTCTGATTAAAGTGCGATTATTAGT